GGTCGAGTCGGTCGAGTCCGTCTTCCTATGGGGCTTGTGACGCCAGAGAAGCGCACTTGGGTAAGCAATTCTTCCAGAGCCTACCTATTCCATTGAACATGGCTAATCGCAGACAAAATAGCTTTTCTGCACCCTTCATTCCCCATCCTGTGCTTAATCCTGTTCAAACGCCGCTGCGATTGCGAAGAATGAGATCTCCGAAGAATATCGAATTACGTCTAGCACCATTCCGTCAAAGTCGCCGGTGAACGGCCCAAAACTGACGTGACCTGTGTGAGTTCGAGTCAACCAACGATCTTTCGAAGATGGCAGCACAGACATCGACAATAAAAACCTGTCAGAACCTGAACACTGGCGGTGTGATGAGGTGGCCACAGGTAGCGCAAAGTTGTGTGAGCATGGCGATAGCTCCCACTCTGGCTGCTTATAAGGTAGGAAGAATACAGGAAATGGAATGGACGCTGAACCCCCTAAGGCACGCGTTGGGGCTTCCCCTTTATATATGCCCTTCGACTTCAGCAAGAGCATTCTCATTCGTAAGCGGGGCGCGATAGACGGTTCTATTTTAGAGAGCGGGACGGCAACGTCTTCAAGCGTTCTAATATCGCAGGAGACAGAGAGCGAAGAGTTATTTTTTTTAAAGGGCTACAGCACCTGTCAGTTCGGAACAAAATCGGCTTCAGCCGTTGACGAAATGTGTCAGACGCGTTTGCAGGAGCGCACGGGCCATGCGCCTCGTCCCATCTCAAACTTCAAACGACGACCGGCTGCTGCTTCCTGCCTCCTCACTGCACACGTCTGGCATTGCTCGCAAACCCGGTTTGTTTCCGCTGCTCTGCATTTGCATTTCAGTGCCATACACTCACGAATGACAGCCAAAGACCAAGACATAGCACCCCCAGACCCCGCCATTCCCGGCGTTCCAGATCGGAATGCCAAGCCATGTCGCCGCTAATTACGTGATGGCCCGACCAAACAGGGGTCCACAAAGGGGTTGCGACAGGGAGCGAGACCCTCAGCTTCACCATCTTTTCGCTGCAATTTCTCCCTCTCCTTCTAGAAACCACACACGATGAGCTTGCACCGCCAATAACCCGCGCAAATGGGTCGAGACGGGCTTCGGAGGGGCCGGCCGCCGGCCCTCAGCAACTTGGATCGCGACGCCGACTCGGACGATGACCTCGACCTCGACGACAACCCCGAGGCCGCCCTCTTCACTCCCGACACCGACTCTATGGCCCTGCGCCTCCGAGATCGCCGCCACGACAGCACTGGGCCGGGAAGCGAGAACGAGAAGACGCTGCCAGTCTATGTCAGCATCCATCGGTACGGAGCATGCCATTGCCGCTGCCACGCCAGCTAACTCGCCGGTAGCATTCGGCGATTGATCATTGCGGCCATCGGTTAGCATACCCGTCCCTCCCAGACCCCTCCGCCAGCTAACAACCGCGGCGCGCAGATGATCCATACACCCTCGAACAGCTGCGGACGCCCCGCATGACGATGCAAGTCGTCCGGCCCCTCGTCGACCGCCTCTTCGACCCGAACGATCTGTCGACCGTATACTGCCTCCTCGCCAACCGCGTCCAGTTCCTGCGTTCGCAGTCCGAAGAGGCGCTACATCAGACCGTCAATATTGCCCGCGCCATACTCTGTGAGCTCGTGGCCGCCCGCATCTTGCGCCGTTTCCACGAGGAGAACCCCGGCCGCTCCGGGCTCCTGCTGCTCTCCAACATCCTTGTCTCCGGATTCGACGCCTTCGATGCCGCCCCAGAACCGATGCGCCGCCAGAGCCGGGCCTCGCAATGGCACGCCCAAGACCGAGACGGACACGAGCGGAAGCTGATGGCGCTGGAGCTCGCCATTCTATCGGAAAGCAAGATCCTGATCGCCTCGGTCCCCTGCCAGCGTGTCGTCGATGCTGTCCACCGCGGACTCGTTGTGTATACGCCGCTCTCTCTCGTCGACATTCTGCCCGATCATTATAAATTTCACCCTGTCTCTCTTTACGAGCCGCGCCGCGCTTCCATTCTGAACCACCACCGCCTCATCGTGCCCCGTCTGCGCAATCTGATCGAGCTCGCGCACTTCACCATCCTTTTGGCCCTATACGTCTTGACCATGGTACACTGTAATGGGAATCCCCATGGGACCCGGCAGATGGGCATATACGAGGCGGCGTTCGTTATCTTTACCGCGGGCTGGGTGCTCGAACAGTTCGCCGCTATTATAGAACACGGCTGGGAGGTACACGCCCAGAACCTTTGGAGTTTCCTCGACATCACGTTCATTTTTATCTACGGACTTTATGGTATTGTCCGCGTGGTGGAGCTTCTCGTAGGCATCGATATTAACTATGCCCTCCCGATTCTCTGCATCGCGGCGCCGATTTTGCTGACGCGCATCGCGTTTAACCTCATGCCCGACAACATCGTCTTCATCGCGCTCCACGCCATGATGCGCGACTTTACGCGCCTGACCTTTATCGCCATCTGGTGTTTCACCGGTTTCCTGTTGGGTCTCTTCTGGCTGATGCGGACCAACTTTGCGCTGGACCCAAGCTTCGAGACGACACCGGGCTGGGCCACGATCGGCAAGTGGCTGCTGTGGATCTGGTTCGGTCTCGACGGGACGGGAATCGAGCGCACGGCAGACTTCCACCTAATCCTCGGCCCCGCGCTGACCGTGACGTTTGCGTTTCTGGGCAACACGCTCTTCCTGACGATCCTGGTCGCCATCCTGACCAACACCTTCTCGAAGATTATGAACAACGCAGCCGCCGAGGTGCAATTCCGCCACACCGTGCTAACCTTCCAGGGCGTCAAGAGCGACGCCATTTTCTCGTACCCGCCGCCCTTCAACATGGTGGCGCTGGTGATCATGCTGCCCCTACGCTTCTTCCTCGGTGCCGCCACGTTCCACAACATCAACGTAGCCGTGATAAGGACGATCAATGCGCCACTCCTGCTGCTCATCGCGCTGTACGAGCGCCGCCGCGTCTGGGCGCGCGGCATGTTGCCCTCGGTCTCGACGCGGCAGTGGCACCACTTTGGGCTGAGTCCGTATGGGGATATCCAGTTGGTCTTTAGTGCAGAGCCGCCGCCGGATGTGCTGGACAGGATCGAGAAGCTGGATGTGTTGGATTCGACGTTTCATCATGATGTGGATCGGAAGTCGACTGAGGGGGAGAGGAGTTCGTTTGTTAGACGGAGGAAGCCCTCGGGGGATAGCGAGCGGAGTGATTAGACTGGTGTTAGGGGTGTTGAGGGTTGTAGATTCCACTCATTGCATGGCGCAGATTTTTCTTTATTAATGCATTTTGTCATATTGGTATCTTAGCTGCTTCCTTGTGTTGTATGGCTTTGTATTGTCTGGGACACTGGAAGTTCGTATGCTGCCATCACTCTGTTAGACATGGATCCGTCGCGTCAAGGCTGTCCATACAGCTGGGCGTCGTACAGGCTTGGTTGTGTTTGCGTTCGCACAAGGGGATAAGTACCGTCTCGTCTCTGTTCCACACGTGGTCGATGTAAGGGCTGAGGAGGAAGTACGAAGTCAAGACTCGACGCAAACATGCTCGCTCTTCTGTTTTGGTACCCCCAGTTTAGTGGCAGGACCGCACTACCAGGCCAAACCAATATTTGGGTTCCGGTTAAGATGATAAGATATAAGGAGGAACCCGGGTTTTGGGTAGGAGGTCCAGCGTCCGTTCGACTTCCTGTATTCTACCAACACACCTACCTACCAACCTATTTACTATATTTACAATATTCACTAGTTGAGACAGCCAGAATGGGATGGTACCACCATGGCTACACAAAGCTTGCGATATATATGTAGCCACCTTATCTCGTCACACCGATACCGTCTGTGCTCGGATGCTGACTTCTAGAAGGGAGGAATTATGGTAGAGCGAGATACTTGTGTGGTTGGTTTGTTTGTGCTGGACGGTCGTTGGGTCGTTGGCGATGTTGGTGGTACTTGTGCAAGGATACATGTCTGGTGGGATGGGGTTTATTTGTTTAGGACCTTGGGTTACGTTACACGGTGTGATGGGTTCGGGTCTCCGTTAGGTCTAGCTCCGCGTTTAGGGAGTAGGAGAGGCGGCCAACCTTTCTCTGTTCGTGTCACGACTGGGGAAGGTAGGTACTTGGAAGTCTTGGGGTTGTTTTTTTGGGTAGCAAAAGGGGCTGCTTCTCAGGACTTTTGTCAGCATGGGACGGCGCTGGATAGCCTTGTAAGCGGATATCTCAGCCTCTTCTGGTGCTTCCCCCCCTTTTTTTAGTTTCCCCTCGAAGCAGGGTTGGCGTCAGAAAACCTATTTTTTTTTTTTTGGGGGGGGGGGGATTAAAAGTAAAGATCCGACACTTTCTACCCGCTTGTGGATATGCTAATAGCTGGTACTGCTGCTTCGTAGGTATTATGGATACACGTGGTGTTGGTCTCTTCCATGGGACCGGGATATCCCCTCTTCATCGAATACTCCGCATAAGCAAACATGACGCTCAACAGTTTGCAAATTCCGGTCTAGCTTTCGCACCCGCTCCGGGAATATCTTCCGTGCTGGGATCAAACTTCGTCTAATATGTGGTGTTTGGATCGGTTCCGGGGCTGCGGTCCTTGTTGGGATGGAAATGTCGTCCCATCTCTTTTGCCTTGTCCCTGGCACCTCTTCAGTTGATCTGATGGCTTGGGTTTGTGACCCGCTGGGGCTCAACTGCTAGTCTTCAGCTCACACGAACCCCTGACACGTTTTAACGGGGAAACCGCCAACCCACCAGTGAATCAGCGAGGGCATACTTATGTGTTGGGAATGCAGCACGACCTGAAAAGGGGAAAAGTCCCAGTCCAGCAATAAAGATGCTACCCGCGGTGGGTTTCCATCCAACTCGGTGGTTTCACAATGCCGGAGGAGTGCGGTGGTGCACAAACCGTCCCTCCCAGTCAACGACCAAACACAAGGTGTAATTCCCACTCCTATTCTTATGAAATAACACAAATCCTCCGTGGCGCAATTGGCTAGCGCGTCAGACTGTTAAGCGATGGCCAAGATCCGAGATCTTGCTATTCCTGAGCACATCTGGAGGCTGTAAGTTCAATCCTTACCGGAGGAGATGAGTTGTGCTGAGGTGGCACATCTTTTTTTTTTCGCTGCCCTGGCCAGGAAGCCAGCCATGCGCTCAATGTGGGATTTCTGCCCACTCGTTGTTTGCCAGAGTCCCGGGAATGCCCTTGAGGTTTCTCTGTATTTATCTGGCGTACATGGGAAATAAGGGACGATTCTCCACAAAGTCTCCCACCCCCAACAACAACAGTTGGTTGAGTAATTGTTTTGGGCGATATGATGTTTGTGAGAGCCAAAGACACCGGACGAGGATTACTTTGACGCTCAGGGTCCCTGAAAGAAGGAAGAACCAGAGAGTGCTTCCAAAGTTTTATTTGTTGAACTGTTAGTTATTGGTTGAAGTGTTGGTCAAGAGCTGTCCGACAATTTCCAGCAGGTCCTCATGTGAAATTTCTCCGCGGGCTGTGAGCAACAATCACACACCGAGGCTTGCTCTCACAGACATTTTTCACCTAACATAGCGCACGATTCCAAGTTCACAGTAGAATGTCAATGGGTTAAGGGTGTTTGCACTTTATTTTCTGCTTGGCAAACATGACTCCTTAAAACATGGTTTGGCTCCAAATTCACTGTTGCTGAATATATTGAGTTATCTTGGGGAAGTTGGGGAAGTCGTCCGGTCTCTATTTGTGGTCAAACATTACCCCTGAGTACCAGGTAGATATCTGAGGGGCAGGAAATCGTCGGATATCTCTTTGTCGACGCGACACCTCATATCACATTAATGCTCTCATTGTCATCGTATTCTCTACACGTCGAAAATATACTCCGAGAAATCGAAAGTTCGTCTCATCTCGCTTGCTCAGCAAACATTACCCCCCCCTTGTAGAAGAACCAAGGCGGGTGGTGAAATAGTTGGACATCTCTTGTAACAAACACAACCTCTGTCGCATGTGGTTCTTGCATTATATTTGCCAATATCGGGATACAGTGTGGGAAGTCGTTGGAAAGTCGTCCAATGTCATGTCGTTGACAATCTACCTTGCTTGCGTACCCTCTACCTGCTCCCGGCCCGGCTTGGCCCTGAAACCAGGGACTCTGCAAGAGAGAAAGGCGTCCGTAATCCCTTACTCAACAATACCACGCCTCGATTACAATGCCCAAACTCGCTGGCCGTAAAGATCCACGGTCGTCATCTGATAAGGTGCCCGCCAGAGATGGAAAAAACGTCCGAACTCTTTAACCCCAACAAACAACACGCTCCACTACAATCATTGATCTCATCTTTCCTCGGACGCATCGCTACACTCAATACGTAAAAGGTTTACCAGAGAGGGAAAAACGTCCGATGTCTTTTATCCAACAAACATCACGCGTCAATAAGTAGCAATTATCCGTTCCATCTTTCTTTGACCTCGCCAGTAAACACACCAAGGTGCCTTCCAGAGATGAGAAGAAACCAACCAAAAACGGCACAAACTTCCGATCTCTCGCCGAACAAACATCACAACCCGCTAACAATCGACATCGTGATTGTCCGCCAAAGTCATCGAGAGACTCACCGAGATGTTTCGACGAAATGGTCAGATGTTTGCTCCATGTCACTGGTCATGACAGAGTTGAGGGCAGATACCTTGATGGCCGACAAGGTTTGAGTATATAGAGACCCCTTTTCTACCCCCTTCACGATCTTCTTTCCTCACCATCATTCAGCACCACTTCGAGAGCCATCCTCCTCTCCAAGACCTCTGGTTTTTATTTCAGTTCCTTCATCCTTCGAGCCGTTATTCAGCAGGCTTATACCGTCTCTAATTATCGCCCAGCTCGACGACCTAAACGACGATCTGATCGACATCTACACTGCGCTTTCCTACGTCTGGGGCGACCCCTCGCGGGTCGGCCAGATCTTGCTCGACGGCCAACAGTTCGGAATCACCGCCTCGCTGCAAAATGCACTGCGCGACATTCGTGATGCGACACGAGAGATCCGGCTTTGGGCAGATGCCATTTGCATCAACCAGGAGGATGTGTTGGAACGCAACTCCCAGGTGTCCATGATGGGTCGCATTTATGCTACCGCTACAAACACCATCATCTACCTGGGGCCGTTGACCGCGATGGCCTCAAGGGCACTTTACATAATCGACCCACGGAAGAGCGACCTCACGCCATACCGAAACGCGGCGGGCATCGCGATCGATCCAATGTGGGAGGTGGCCATTGGAGATATTCTCAACAGACAGTGGTTCCAGCGCGTCTGGATCTTCCAGGAACTCGTTCGCTCTCGGGACCCATGGGTGCAAGTCGGCCACGCCCGTGTGCGGTGGGACAAAGTTTGCGATGTGGTCTTCCGTCTGTATAGCCAGGTCGGCGTTAATCTCGACTCGGAAACAGCGTTGGAAGGCGAGAGAAACCCCATCAATATCCTGAACGACATGAACAGAGCTCGAACACATGACGATTCGCGATCGCTCTTACAGCTCCTCCAAGCCCGCAGAGGAATGGGGGCGACTGACCCGCGCGACATGATATTTGCTCATCTCGGTATTGCGTCGCTGCCGCCAGGCCATGCGCCATATCCCGTGGTTGATTACACCAAATCCGTCTCGGAAGTCTACCTCGATGTCGCCCTGTACCTACTAGCAACTCCACCGGAAGACATGAGGAACCTCAAAACGCTATTCGAACACCTTCCAGCCCGAATACAGTATTCCCTCGGCATTCCCTCCTGGGTGCCCGATTGGCGACTTCCGGGGATTTTACGTCCCGGGCCCGACCGCGAGAATGAAATACCCCTTCTGGACGAGACATTGGCCGCCGATCTGTTCAAGTCGAATACCAGATATCCAAAGGTCGCGACATACCGCCTGGCTACGGCAGGTTACCTTTTCGACACAGTCAAGGGAGTCGGTCCGCAGGCACCGTCAGCGTCGGGAATTTCTCGGGCCGATCATGAGACATACAAAAAGAACTTACGCATATTTATTAACTGCATCCACCGAGCAACCCTTTCGGGCAATATCAGAAACCTTGCCGGTTTGTTGATGGATGCTGAGTTCTTTCCCACCCCCTCCAAAGAGGATTTACAGGGGACATTCCTCAAAGAGTGTCGGTCTTGGGTGGGTGACCTGCCTGGAGGACTCCGGTGAGCCCAAACCTTCCGCCGTTGGATTTTCGTATGACCGTCTTATATGGGTTGATGGTACTGAGTGTCTCCTTTGAGCTGTAACTAATAATACCATTAGTCCCCAGGTCACTCCTAAACACAGAGATTCCGAGGACACATACCTTGACGGCCGACGACTGATTCTAACGGCCGAAGGATACTTTGGCGCTGCACCACCAAACGTACAAGAAGGGGATTTCTGCGTCTGCATCGCTCCACTGCTCGAGCCGCTAGTTCTACGTCCCATGCCAGCCGCCTTGGTCCCCAAGTTCGATCCTGAAGACGAAATAAGTTGTTGGGCAAGCGATCTCACCATCACAGCCGCTTCCAAGCTCAATCCTCAATGGGGTATCCACATCTGGCCACCGGGCGGGAATACCAAACCGGGCAGATACACAATCAAGGAAACGGACGTCCTTCATTGTCAGGTTGTTGGCAAATGTCGGATCTATGGCTTCACGCCGTGGCGTATCCCTGATGGCAGGTGCCCCCCATTAAGAGAAATAGCCGAGTTCCGCCAGAGAATTCTTGTGCTGCATTAGATGCGGAAGGGAAAACAACGTTGGCGTTGCTAGTACTGTCATTCCTTTGTATTTTCCGGGAAAACATCAGTTCCAACAATCGTTTCCCTTGGAAATGACTTGCAAATGCGGACTTGAACACACAGCCTAGCATCCCCCGCAAACACCTGGCCCGGCCGAACAGGTTCAGAAAGAGCCACAAGGTATGATGAAACAGACAGCACAAGAGAACCCTCCAGAACAAACAGCAAGGGCAACAAGGCCATTCATCGGTCAACAGCCAGCCTGTAACCCTGAGGATAAAGACACCACACAATGGGCGTACATCCACAACAAAGGGACAATGACACCCGCCTCACGACGATATATAAACCTTCGATAACCCGGTTATGTCTCGGACTTGAAAGTACCTACCTCCAGCCAACAACAAACAGGAAAAAGGAAAAGAAAGGGGGTCTCGGATCGACGACAGAAACAAGCAGCAAGCAAGCACCTCTTCTCCATTCGAGACAAGTGTGCAGAAAAACATGTCTCGCTCCGGCTCCTCCTCCGCATGGACAGAAGAGGAAAACGAGGCAGCAGCGACGTTACTAGACCTCGCCATCCAGGAGTCGCTCCTGCTCGCCCACGCGGCGGCCAGCGGCAGCTGCAGCATGTGCGGCAGCCGCTTCACGGTGAACGCGACGGCCACCCGTCTGTGTCACCTGTGCCGCTTTCAGTATCTGGAGACGTCTCCATCTCCAGCGCCCTCCTCTCCTGCTCCCTTTCCTCCTCCACCTGTTTCTGTGTCTGTCACTTCCGCCCCGTTGTCGTCTCCTTCCCTTCCTACTACTTCTTCCCCTTCGTCGTCCACTGGGACTGGGACGGTAGGAGAAGAGGAAGAGGAAAGAACACCAGAGTCAATGTGGCCCAACATCGAAAAGTGGCTAACAACCCGCCAAGGCCCCGCGCCGCTCGTGACCTGCGGCATCTGCGCAGCCGAGCTGATCGTCCCCGGCCTGCAGGAGTTATCCTCATCTCCCTCGTCCTCCTCTGAGCGCGAGGCCATGCGCAAGCTACCATGCGGCCACGTGCTCGGCGCCATGTGTCTCGCGCGCTGGATCGAGATCAAGTTGCTCGAGGGCATCGCGAGTCCGTCGTGTCCGTACTGCAGACAGCCCATCGACGGGTCTTCCCCTTCATTGCTGAGGCCCCGGCTCCTACCTATGAATGGCGGGCGGCAACATGGTATGTGGCGGTCGCTGACGCTGCAGTCGTCTACTTCGCCGCCGCCGTTCTCGTTGCCTTCGCCTGTGGGGTCGTACCCGCCGCTTCCTGCGGCTACGGTGCGGAGTAGTGGTCCGTTTCGTCCGGTCGTTTGGG